GGGGGGGGTGTTGACTGTGTATATATAGAGTACATGAAAAAAAATGACATTTAAGTAAAACAAATAAACAATTCCTGCAGCCTACTGTGTTTATTGTTCAGTGTGGTGGAGCAGGGGTGGCCATCACTCCCTACATTGGGCCCCCTTTGGTGGCGCCCCTGTTGATCGGCTGCTCTAAGTAGCTACAAAAAGTCAGATGATGAAAAAATCAATCGCCTCCTCTTTTTTTTTCTTTTTCAAAAAGCAGAACAGTTCAGATCAATCAAAACCAAATGGATTCCAAATGTAAAAATAAAGAAAAACAGTCAGTAAATGCCAATCACTACTGTTGATTTTTACTCTCTTGTGAATTGCTGTGAAAACAATATACGACTGTCTCTAATAAAACTCTGTAAATTTCCATTATKTGGAAATGCTGGACAGTCTGAGGAGTATCTCTCCCGCGTGTCAGCACGCCAAAGTTCGGGGGCGCGCGCACAGATTGGGAAACCTAAGCAAACTGATGTATTCCCCCCCACCCCCGCCCCCCGTTGTGGTCCAGGTCCAGTCGGTGTCTGCTATAAAAGCCTCAGTTCCCCTCCCAGACGGTCTGCTCTGCACCACCCACCTCCCACAGGTCCACCATGAAGCCTCTCCTCCTCGTGGCGCTGCTCGGATGCCTCGGTAAAGACTTTTGCGATTTCCGCACAAGTTGGATTTTTTTTTTCAATGAAAGTCAGACTAATAATAATAATAATAATAATAATAATAATAATAATAATAATAATAATAATAATAATAATAATAATAATAATAATCAATGCAAATGATTTGTCTTTGCAGCCTCGGTGCTCGCGAGCCCAGCTCCGTCTGTGAAATGGTGCGTAAAATCCAACGAAGAATACCGGAAATGCACGGATCTGGCTGCTGCAGCTCCAACCTTTGCCTGTGTGAAGAAAGACAGCACCCTTGACTGCATCATTGCAATCAAGGTAGAATGAAATCACATTSATTTACCATTGATTTATCAGAAACACTCCTGAGAGAGACTTTGTAGCCTATCAGTCTATAATTATAGGTTTTAAAAAAAAGAAAATAAGTTTGTTTTTGTTGGCCATTATAAAAATGCATCACATGCACTGATTCATTCAAACAACAGGCTTCACAGAGGTGGGGGATCACTTTTTAAAGTTACTGCTGTTAAATTTTGCCTATTTCCTAACAGGCAGGTGAAGCAGATGCGATCACAGTGGATGGAGGGGACGTTTACACTGCTGGGCTCAACAACTATGACCTGGGTCCCATTATTGTTGAGGATTATGGTGACCAAAGTATGCCTTCCACATCAGCTGTCTTTATTCTTCAAACAAAACCATGAATTGATTTGGTGTTTTTTTTTACTCTGTCTTTTATTTCCACTCATTCAGCTCCCGACACCTGCTACTACGCCGTGGCTGTGGTGAAGAAGGGAACTCAGTTTGGCATCAGAGAGCTCGGCGGGAAGAAATCTTGTCACACCGGTTTGGGGAAATCTGCCGGCTGGAACATTCCCATTGGAACACTTGTGTCCATGGGTATTATTCAGTGGGCTGGCATTGAAGACAAACCTGTGGAGGAGGGTACGTTTTTTTTTTCTTTCAATTTGTACATGGTCCTCATTAAAATGTAGCACATTTGACAGTTTCTCTTGTTATCACTGCAACAGACGTCATATTTTTTTAAGGAAAAATAAATGTTTTATTTTTGATCATTGCATTTTTCTTTTGGTTTGATTATAAGATGATAATTTTAAAAATATATATTTTTAGTGTCAGTGTTTTTCCCAATTGACTAATTTATTGTCATCAATATTATGAGCTTGAAATTTCAAGACAAAAAAAACTGAGATTTTTTTCTTCCCTTTAATGTCTGATATTATTCTTTTGTCTTTGTTTTGCATGCAAAATATCTGTAGAGTCTGCAAAAAAAAGGTAGTTTTTCTTCCAGCTGCTGTCCCTGAAGTACTYCTCCTTTAATGACATCAGCATGCAGGGGCAGAGCCAGAGGGGAGGCCAGGGTGGCATGCGCATGTGTGATTGACTAGTGAGGTGGGGTTTGCATGTGGCATTTCAAGGATGGGCAGTTAATGAGAAATATTTTTTGCTAGCTGGGGTAGCTTCCAGGGGAATTTACGGGGATTGCCCTTGCTACGACCACACCCAATTTCAGCTCAGTATGTCTGAAAACGTCTGAGTTGTAGCCATTTAAAATTAGCTTTGGCAATGATTTTGTATTTTGTATTTGAAATCAGATTGTTTAAAAGATTTTTTTTTGCCTATAGGCTCATTTTCAGCTGTTTGTTTAAAAATGTCTAAATTATAGTCATTTATGAAATTATCATTATCTTTAGAAGCTATCTTAGTTGTGACTAACAATYAACATGTTTCTTATTTTTTATCATTCATAGCTACAATCACACACAAAATGTTAGCTCAAAATTTCTGAATTAGTCATTTGAACTTAGTTGTGGAGTTCATCTTGAATTTTCAAATCCAGAGATTTTTCTTATTTGTATGTGCCCCCCCTAAAAACCACCTTGACCACCCCTGTGCCCCCCTATGCAAAAATGTCTAGCTCTGCCCCTGTCAGCATGTAAGACATTTGCATTATGGTAAATCAGAAGTATTCGTTTTAAATGGCTCAGGAGGACACAGTTACTGAAAGCAGCTCAGCAGCCAGACATCCAGCAATTAAATATATACAGTATTTTTTCTAATTGAAAAAAAAATAAATTCTATATTTTTATGATTTAATATCTATTTTTATATTAAATGAAGTCTGAGTTGTATAGTTCTGTCATAGATCATCTATGTAACAGGGTTGCCACTCTTACAAAAAAATGTCATTCAAGTTTACAAAAATAATRTTATTTTGTAATGAACTCCTTGACTGGCCCAACTGAAGTCACCAGTGGGCCAGAAGTGGCCCACAGGCCACCAGCTGAATAGCCCTGCGGTAACTGGTCCACACTTGCTGTGGCTTTTTAACCTCTCCATRTTCTGCAAAATACTTYAAATGTTTTTCAAACACAAYCRCATTACTTTTTATTATTTTTATTTCCTTTATTTTACCAGGAGGAACTCACTGATTAAAACTCATTTACACGATTGCCCATGTCGTATACTGTCTGTTACACTCTTCAGACATTTTCATGTTCTCACTGGTACATCAGGGGCAGTGGTGAGTTCAGTGTCTTGCCAAAAGACCCTTTGGCACACTGTGTGGGCCTCAGATCAAAGCCACATTAGCCTCTGATTGAAAGGTGACCTCCACACCCCTGGCTTGTCCACTCAGGGATAACTAGGTCTTTGAGGAGACGTTTTAAGGACATAAAATATAAATTTCAGGCAGAAAGAAGCAGGCAGTGTCGCAGCAAATAATAAAGTGGATTTTATTTTCTTACAGCGGTGGGCAGCTTCTTCCATAGCAGCTGTGTCCCAGGKGCAGCAAAAGGCTCCAAACTATGTGAGCTCTGCTCTCGAGACTGCTCCAGGTCCCACAGTAATCCGTACTACGACTACKCCGGAGCCTTTCAGTCAGTACAATTTATGTCTCTCTAATGTGACTYATGCTACCTGACAACCATTACGCATCTTGTCTTACGCTCCCWCCAGTTTTAGAAGTTTTCTTGTAAAGCACTAAGCCTGTGACATTGATACGAGCTGTTCTTAACAGGTGTCTGGCTGATGGAGTTGGGGATGTGGCTTTTGTGAAGCATCTCACTGTACCCGGTCAGTGTCAGAAAATGAAACGAGAACCCAAMTATGATGGTTTTTGGTCCTAGTTTCATCTGCAACATTTTTCAGTAAATATTTTTTATTCTCTTTACCAAATGCAGAGTCAAAAACCTTTTTTTTTTACTTTTCTAGATTCTGAAAAGTCCAAATATGAGCTGCTTTGCAAGGACAACACCCGAGCCCCCATCGAYGACTACAAACGCTGCTACCTGGGCAGAGTACCAGCTCACGCCGTTATCTCTCGCAAGGACCCACAGCTTGCTGACCTAATCTGGAACAGCCTCAGTGGAGTGAAGGTAAAAATAATTTTTTYTGACTGTTGACTCTGAAGGTAAGAAGAGAGAGGGCTTTCAAGCAATGTTTCCTAATGATGTCATTTTCAGAACTTCAACCTCTTCTCCTCTGAGGCCTACGCCCCGTCCAAGAATCTGATGTTCAAGGATTCGACCAAGAAACTGGTTCAGCTGCCCCCGAACACTGACTCCTTCCTGTATCTGGGTGCTGAGTACATGAGCATCATCAGATCCCTGAAGAAAGGTAAAAAAAAAAAAAAACAGGAGAGAAACACACGTAATGCACGTTACATGTTCCTGTTGTAAGCCTGGTTCGTGGTCATGTCCGCCCCCCACAGAGCAGACCCCAGGCACCGCATCTCCTGCAATTAAATGGTGCGCTGTGGGCCATGCCGAAACCTCCAAGTGCGACACGTGGAGCATCAACAGCATGACCGATGGCAGCACTTCCATCGAGTGCCAAAACGCCCCCTCAGTTGACGAGTGCCTAAAGAAGATTATGGTAAAACTTTTTCACAAGCATTTTTACTTAAGTTAATTGTAGAGGCTTTATTTTTGAGTCCATAKTGTGACATCAGTTTGTTTGATTTTTTTATTTTATTTTATTTTTTTCCTGCAGCGCAAAGAGGCAGATGCAATAGCAGTGGATGGAGGTCAGGTGTACACTGCTGGAAAGTGTGGTCTGGTTCCTGCCATGGTGGAGCAGTATGATTCAGGTAAGACACTTAAATACAGTAAATAACATAAAAAGCTTTTTATACATTCCAACATTTATATGGGAAGAAACTTGCGCCACCGGAAACTGAATTGGAATTGCTCAGACTGAGTCTATATTTGCATGATTTGAAATTAAATGCATTGGTTTGAAAATGAATATCGCTAAACTGAAACTGAATTTAATAGTTTGAATCTGAATTCATTTGCTTTGAAAATGTATTTCTGTGTATTGAAAATTCAACTAGATTACTTTTAATTTTTAAATTCAATTTCAATTCCAAAATGCATTTTTTTGTGTGTGTGTCACATCCGGGTCCACGAGAAAGCCAAAAGAGTAATCAAACACAGATTGACAGAAAGACGTTTCACATCAGGGATACTTTCTTCATCCTTTATCCTTTCTCTAGTCTGAGCATTTCCCATTCCGTTTCTCATGGCATAAGTTTCGTCCCGTGTATTTATTTGACTTTTTTTTTTGACATTGTAAAATATTTATCTTTCTCTGTCTTTCTCCGCAGCTCTCTGCAGCTCTTCTGAAGGTACTGAATCTGTTTTTAGAAACCATTTTCATATTGCATTGTTCCGCACATTTAGACCAGTGCAAAGAATTTAGAAAAGGGCATCATTTGGTTGCACTGTAGCTTCTACAAACACTTGATAAAAGTAAAAATAAAAATTTTGTTGGTTGTATTAAAATAGTTTCTTTACGAATATTTGACATTCRATCTACTTCCTGAGAAAACTGGAGAATGAAAGAAATTCTCCCCAGGTTTAACCGACCTGCTTTGCATTAACATATAAAGGATACGAAACGAGTAAATTGCTGCCTTTCATTCTTTTTTTTCCATGATCTTCTCTCTGTCCTCTCAGACAAATCCTCCACGTATTTTGCTGTTGCTGTTGTAAAGAAGAATTCAGGAGTGACCTGGCAGACCCTAAAAGGAAAGAGGTCTTGCCACACGGGCGTCGGTAGAACCGCAGGCTGGAACGTCCCCATGGGTCGCATCTACAAAGAGACTTCAGACTGTCAGTTCAGTAAGTGACTGAAAATATTTGTTTGAAAGAAAAAAAAAGGACTAAAGAAGGAGACTCAATTCTTGYTTTAATTGTGATTCTTCTTGTTTTGGAAATGTAAAGATTATTTACAAAATGTGGAGTCACTGTTGGGTTGGCTCAGTTTGACAGCATCTCCTCTCCTCCTCAGCTAACTTTTTCAGCAGTGGATGTGCCCCCGGATCCGAGCCCAACTCTCCGTTCTGCCAGCAGTGTAAAGGCAGTGGCAAAGCTGTGGGAGACGAGGCCAAGTGCAAAGCCAGCGCCGATGAGCAGTACTACGGTTACGCTGGAGCCCTCAAGTACGATAAGAGGCTGCGGTTGTCTCTGTATTAAAGCTCAAGTTTCTCCATGCAAAAGACTCAACTGCTTTATCACTACTTTGATTGAACTGTTGGGAATCTGTTTTTCTTGAAGTGTTTGCTTTCTGTAACATAGTGTGCCGCGTGTTATTTCAGATGTCTAGCAGAGGATGCTGGAGATGTTGCTTTTGTTAAACACACAACAGTGCTTGAGAGCAGCAATGGTAAGGGCATCATCTGTCTGATTTGTTGTTTTCACAGCCGGTTTGGATGTTATCAGTCCATTAAATGGACGTTATTAGCGGTTGTCAGTCCCATAGAATGGCTTCAGACTGTCCGGACAGTGCCCCCTAGTGGGTTACCAGTGCCATATATGTTGGAATGCAACAATCTGCTACCGCCAGAGTCCTGTCTACTTTATCGTAGCCCATGTCATTTTTTCTAACACTAACCTTAGTGGCTTTGTGCCTCATATTAACCAGACTGCATAAAAAACCTTAGTGGTTTTATGCCTCATACTAACCAGCTGACAGTCTGAAGCCATTCTATGGGACTGATAACCGCTAATAACGTCCATTTAATGGATGATAACATCCGAAGCTGGTGGTTTTCGACAAAACTGAAACATCATGCCAAATTCTGTCCCGTTTTTTTCCAACTCTTTTGGCTATCAGTGGACAACTACCAGCTAATCTGCCCCGGGCGACCAGATCCAGTGCCACCCAGTGACTATGAACAGTGTAACTTGGCAAAGGTGCCCGCACACGCTGTTGTGACTCGTCCAGAGATCCGCAACGAGGTGGTCCGAATCCTCCTGGACCAGCAGGTCAGTATGACCTTTAAAGTCAACTTTAGGTTTTGTCTACTTGTAAAAAACTAATTATTAATTAATTATTTTTTTCTGGCCTGCACAAGGCACTAACTCTCAGCCTAGGTACCGCAAAGAGTGATAGCCCTTTGGTGGCCCAGATGTGGTTTGCCAGAGGTGGTCTATACATGAGCCAGCACCACATAAACCAAACCACAACTGGGCCAGTTGTAGCATGCCATTTTAAAAATGGTGCCATCATTGCGAGATCTGGCCCTCATATAGTTGACAAACCACTTGCCAAACCGACAGTCAGCCAGCAGTGCCAGCTGGACACCAGATCTGGCCCATCATCTTTCTGCCAATGTGGGTATTTGAAGGAAATCATGGATAAACTGAAGTTAAAGCCCAAGTCCTCCTCAGCCAGAGGACAATTAGAACAATGCAATAAATTGGTAATTACATATAACTTTACATAGATATTTAGAAATGTAGAGTTAACGCAGTACACATTTTTATTGAGAATTCCATGGTTAAAACCTACAGTTAAATTTAGTATGTACTAGGGGTGTACAGTTCACATTACACAACCAGTTAAATGTGTTATGCAAACTTGGTTCATTATTAACTAACCTCTGCTTAGATATTGGGAGCAGAATAGACTGTATTCCACCCTCTAACCGCTGAGGGTAACGGACATTGGAATTGCACGTTCTCCACTGACATTTAACCCTCTTTTTCAAGATGTTTCCCAAACTCCGACATGAGCGCACAGCGTTGAAAATGAGCAAGTTGTCAATGAGTTTGTTGGAGTAAAATAGTTGGCASTTTCCGCAGCAAGGGGCCCTAATGACTTGATTGAAAGATTGCACCATGTTAGTTATTGTTTTGTCCCTCTTTACAAAAAAAGACTGAAAGTTGCAAGTTTCTTCAACATCAAATTAACACTCACATAGACTCTGTTCACTTTTTGCAATTTGTATCTGTTTTTGTAAGTGGTTAGCATTGACAGTTAGCACCCAGTCTGATTAATAAAACCCTTACAAACCATAAGAATTCTGATAAACTGTTTAGTAAAAGGTTTAGCTGAAAACTAAAACAAACTAAAAAGTCATATCTTTAGAAAATTCCCAAGGATGGCTTTTTGAGTGGTTCTGACTCGTTGATTTTGCTCTTCCTGTCCAGACCAAGTTTGGAAACAATGAAAATGATCCCGTCTTCAGACTATTCCAGTCCGAAAACGGAAACAACCTTCTCTTCAAGGACTCCACCAAATGTCTCCAGGAGATTACTTCTGGAACAACTTATTCACAGTTTTTGGGACAAGGATTCATGGATACCATGTCCTCACTCAGACAATGCAGTGGAACAACACCAGGTTTGTGTTATACTTCCTGAACAGTTTATTATAGTTAAAGTTTATTTTTTTCCTCTCTTTCACACACAATATTTGTTTTCTTTCCTTTCACCAGATCTGGAGAAATCTTGCACTTTCCATTCCTGCCAGGAACAATAAAAGTGGAGCAGACTGTGTGGTTCTTCAGTCATTTTTACCCACGTTTCCCACCTCTTGATACCTTAATCACATTTGAGTTTTGGTCAAGTTGATTTTGTTGTATGTSTGCTTTTTTCATACACTTCACAGAGAGATTCCACAACCTTCAAATAAAAATCAGATATTTTAAATCAGCTGGCAAAAGAATGTTATACTTCCTTTGTTATGAGATCAAATTTGTTTTGTTAAAACCTGCCTAACTTTTCTCAAATAAAGTCTTTTTAATGCTCTTTTATGTGAACAGTATTGTTTCTTTTTTTTAAACAATGGTACATACAGTTTTTTTTCCTTTATGCATCTCTTTCCTCTGAGTTGAGCTACTTTAACTGAAATAGCCAACACTAATTTACCAACCTTTAAGCAAACATGATTTGTGCTGAAAATGAAGATAAAAAACAAACACAATGACATGCAGATGACTTACCATGATTCTTCAAATGGAATATTTCAAAACAATTTTGGTCAAAATGGGCAAGCACTGAATGGAAATAAAATAAAGTCATTTTTAGGATCCTTGTTGAAATCTCTTGATTAAATGTCAGATTGTGCAGATTTTCCATTCACAATATAAAACAATCCCTTCAAGACTCATACAAATATCAGTTCAACTCTTAGGGCCGGCTTCCCGTACAGGGATTAGGCCTAATTATAGATTAAATCACATTTTAAACCAAGATTTRTTGAAACAGCTTTCTTAGTGATGGATTATAGTAGTCCCAGACTTGTCCTAGTCTTGAATTAATACTATATCCTGACATCCTGCGTGGTGGACAAACTGGCTGCCTTAGACTTCCCCTCCCACCACTTCCACCTGGATTAAGGACTTCCTTAAAAATCGTCCTCAGTCTGTAAGGATTGGTACGCACAGCTCTTCCATCCTGACACTGGCTTCCCCCAGGGCTGTGTGCTGAGCCCACATCTATTCACCTACACCCATAATTGCACCACCTCTCACTCCACCAACATCATCACAAAATATGAAGATGACACTACTCTGGTGGGATTTATAATCGGTGGAGACAAGTCAACAGAGCAAGATGGAGGGGTGGTGTGTCAGGAACAAGCTGTAAGTCAACACCCTGAAAACCAAGAAGGTTGTCATGGAGCAAGGCTGCCCTTGCACCACTCAACATCAGTGCATGGAGAGGGTCCTCCACTTCAAAGCCACACCTTCAGACTCAAAACCAGTTTCTTCAGACTTTGAACACCAGCCACACATTCTAAGCACAATAACTACTTTAATATTGGTTTTGTCTATTCTGTGTATATTGCTGTTTTCTTGTGTGTCTTTATGTGTTCAATTTTGTTGTACAGGCTTGTGCAATGACAAAAAAGGCTATTTATTCTACTATTTTTAAGTGGAGCGGCAGAAATGGGCTTCAGGTATCTGATAAGTTTCTGAAATGTATAGTTTTGTTTTCCCATGATGCCTTATCTATTCATTTATTTTTGCATTCATCTCATGTGTCATCTTCATTGTGTTTAACTCTGCATTTTGCAAACAATTTTTAAAGCTATTTTGSTGACATTCCTTGTCTGAGCTCTAATTTTGTGCAGTTTTTGATCTCTGTGGTTCAAAGTTTATTATTCTATATAAATAAAACTAAAAGTAAAAAGGGGACAAAACAAAACAAGTTACTCTGTTATATTGAAAGTCCGTGAAATGTAGAAATTTAAATGTGTCTACATGACAGCTAGGTTAATTCAAATACAAAACAAAAATAATAAATAC